TCGTAATGATGTGTTCGCCGCATTTACATTCGCTGATGAATTTATTTCCTGCGTTAAAAGTCGAAATTACTAAAAGAACGTTTACGAATACAAAATTCTGCTTATGAAAATCATAAAATTGCGATCATATTATTGGAGAATTATTTTAAAAATTCTAATATAAATTACAATTTATTGCGAAAATTACAATATACAATAAATATACAATAAATTTAAGAAAAAATAATAACAAGGAAAATTATCAGAATGAAAAAAAGTTTTTTAATTTCTAAATTTCTGATCGGATAAACTTTATTTTAGTTAGTAGGTACATATACATATTTTTAATAATTTCACTATTTTTTATATATAATTTTATACTTTTATCTTTGGATTTAAGTTTTTGTTCAAGATTGTTTATGCAATTATTTTCTAAAATTTAATCGAATTTAAAAAAATCTGTCTCCGAAAATTAAAATTGCAGAGAAACTCAGACATACAATACAAACATAATCGTGACTGATTAATAAATCACGATATGACGCGTGCATGAGGAAGATGGCCTGAAGACCGTCCTATTGCAAGGAATTCTACGAGTCAGTGGAAACGCATTTCCCCCCTCGTCGGAATGGTCGTCGAGCCTTGGTGTCAGTGAAGGTTAGGTATGGGTTCTTGCTCGGTGTCTGGTGACCCGGTTTGTATGACTGTCTCTGTGCTTGAACGTTGTTAATTCTCTGGAGAAGTCTTATACCGATAAATTTCATATAGGATCTTTCATTTTTATTCTTTTCTACGCCATCGTTCAACAAAGAAATTATTTTTTTATTTAAATTTAAAATTCGACACTTATTATTTATGTATAAATAAATTTCATATTTTGACCATATAGTACTGAAAGAAAAGGTAACAACTAATAATTTTGATAAATGTAAACAAAACTATTGCAATAAATGTGACAGTAAAAATATATTAATGAAACAAAAAATTAAATGAAAAGTCATATTCTATTTGTTATAGTCAATCTTAAAGTCGTAAAATGATTTTGATGACTTATTTAAAATTTGTATGTTCAGAAATTGTTAAAATTTTTTCACAAATCTTGAAAAAAAAGATTGTATGTTCTACTTTATATAAATATATTAATAAATCCTTATTTTTTTTTAAATCTCAATTATATTAATATACAGATTTATTTGCTTTAAAAATAATTACATTTGGATCGTAATTATTTATTCTTTTGAAATAGTTTTTCGTATGTAGATATTCGCATTCTTCAATCTTTGAAAAGGAAGAATTAAATCAAGAACTCTCATTGTAAGATTTAATCGCCGGTTTTTGAATGCGTCCCGATTATGCAATCAGATGTAATATATTAATATCAGTGTCTGGCGAGTTTATGACCGTGTCACTGTTTTATCGTGCTGAGAATAAAGTTTGTCTTTGCCATTTGCACGTATTTCTCCCGATCTTCTTCATGTACCGTTTGATTACCTTATGATAATTTCCTACAACAATTCTTCGTGTATTTTACGAAAAAGTCTAGCCTACCATTTCCTTTTTTCAGACTAATAGATATTGCAATAGGCAAGACATATTGCGTAAGAATGTATAGAGTAATATTGTGCTCGTCGAGTAAAATAAATAAAAATTATTTTTTATTTTTATATTATTTTTTAATTAATAATTATTGCTTATAATAATTATTACTTAATATAATTTTTTAAATAAAAATTAGTAATTAAAAATTAATAATTTTGTGCGACTGGTAAAGATTTCGCAAGACACTACCGTATGATATTAGTTAATGAGAACGCAAAAAGAAGGTTTATGAGGCTATCGCGAGTATTCCTGGCATGCGTAGACTGTCCGCTTTTATTTTTCCAGTAGCTATAACGTGCGTACACAACATGCGTTGCGAGAGTGCCACTGTGTTCCGCCTTCTACTTTGTTCGAACTTTCAAAGATATCAAAATATTCTAATCACGTAATTCGAGAAATTCTGATAATCCAGCAATCGCATGCTTGTATTCATTACATATATATAATCCACAATCATGAACATCAAAAACCGTGAATAAAAGTATGTCTACAGTATATATCGAAAAAGAGAAAATAGAAATCTATAGACAGAGTTAAATGTTACAAACGTTTAAATTATAAAAAAGTATAATATATATAGACATATAAACATATTTTGAATTATAACATAAGGATGAAAATTTAATAAATTAAATAACATAAAATGCAAATTAATACAAAATAAAATGAAAATATAAAATTAAACTCAAAAGAAGAAAATGCTTAGACAGCTTACAAATAAAAAAAGTTATTTAGTAAGATATTAAATTTTAAGAAAAATGATTGAATCATAAATAAAATGATGTGAAGGAAGAGCTCGTTTCGAAGCAGCTGTAATTATTCGCAAAACCGCATGTTTCTTAGCCGTGGTTAATTACTCCTCGAAGGATTAATCATGTCAGGTGTGATGTACGCATATAAGAAGAATGCGTGTCTTGTTAGGATTTCATTTCAGATTATTTATATTGTCGTTAATTTTCAACAATAGAATAAAATATCATATTATTAATAAACATATGCTTTATGTAAATGTCATAAATTTTTTAAAAACAAAAATTTCAAAATGCATTCCTCACAGAAAAATATTATAATTTCAAATTGAAAGTATATTTATCATGATTACTCTAATGTAAGAATAAATAAACTAATTACTTATATCACAATAAGATTTTACTTCAATTATAAGATAATTTCAAGAGATGTTCAAGTTTCTGGTTATTTTTTTGTACGAAGTTGCAATCCAGCTTGTCGTGTATAATTTATTGTCAAGAATTAAGTTATAATTGGAATACTTGCAACATTTGCGCGCTCAATTAATTAAAATCTTTAACGATTTCAACGACTGCATGTTCGTAGAGATACAAAACATCTACCAACCTTCTGCTCTTGTTGCATTCTTCGGCTGCTCTCGAATGCACATTCTCGTAATCGTGTCGCAACTGTTACCGCGCGCGCGATCAGTTGCTCTCCGGCTTTCTTCGGCAATTATATGAGCTGAGGAAGAGGGATCTGACAAAAGCCGACTCTAAAGACCTTTGCAAGACTTTCTTGAGATTATGGACTTTCTACTAGCTAAATCCCCCCCGATTGCTCGACAATGAGAATGATATTATGGCTAGTGAACAGTGACGTTGTGATTTGAACGGTATATTAGCAATATTGTATTGTTTTTAAGCTATATACTTACTGAATATTTTTAGATTTTTATAATTTTAATATTATCTATGTGAAACTGTTATGTATAAAACATTTAACTTAAACACTTTAATGTTTATTATCAATATATTATTCACATATATTGTTAACAGCTCATAATTATTTATGTATTTTTTATATTTTATAATATAAAAATATTATATTCTTATGTTTATAATCGCAATTTAAGATAATGATAGAAAAATTAATTTTAAAAAAACATTATTATAAGAATGAAGATAATTATTTTTATAATTTGTTAAAAATT